GCACCCTAGGGGAGCCTCCGAACCCCAAATCTAATATTGTACTTAGTCTGGCAAAAGAAAAACAGGAAGGGATGGGTGTGGTGAAAAATGGACGCTGCAGCACACACCCCCCTCCGAGGGAGGACTGAGGGCTTTTGTGTTAGAATTTTGTTTTCTCTGCATTCCTCCTGGCCTGTAAGTCAGAGCTAAATGCCGCACATCCACACTGCGAGGCATGGATTCACATGTGTATTTGTGCGTATTTCTTCTTCTCATCGGCTGGAAATACTGCTTTCCCCCCTTAGTTCCTACTAGTAGTTTCCAGGCTCCGGGGAAAGGTGATTGGTCTATTGCGTTTATGGCATTTGCTTTCCATAGACTAAGCAGCAATAACTTTATGACTAAATTCAGCCAAAAAACCAAGGAAATTGTAAAATGTTATACTTAAACGATACATGGGTTTTGCAAGCAGAGCTCGTGATTTCACCAGCAGCACACGGACGTTCCTGGCTGCCTAATACCCAGATCCTGGCTCCATGACTCAGCAGCTGAATCAACAGCTACTAGCATCTCCTCTAAGAGCTTCAGAGCTCCCAGGAAATCAGGCTCTGGGAGAGGGTATATTTCAGAGCAGTTCTAAGGCGTGGCCCTTGAAAGGGCTCCAAAACAATTTCTCATTTTACATTAAAATGATGACAGAGATCAAGATAGAAAGACTGCGCTCTTAAAACTGCTCTCTGCAGAACCTGGGACTCTCTCAGGAAATCAAATGCCGAACAGGCTCTCAGACAGCTGCTGTTGCAAGATTCTTGGAGGCCACAGCACAGCTGAGCCTGCCTTCAACCTCAAATTGTGGCTCAGATGTTAATCATTACCAGAGATGCCCTCAAATCTTTTCCAGAATTCACAGGCTGCCAAATGCCCTGCTGGTCCCATCAGCTACTGAGGCTTCATCTGTTGGCTGTGGAGGTCACATTTGCTCTACTGTCTGCTGGGTTATGTACTTGTTGAGAGGGAGAAACATGACCCCCAAATATTCCACTGTGGTAGGTGGATTCTTTTGCACTAAGGCAATCAGGGCCTAGTAGACTCAGTGAAAGGTCACCCAGGCCCCTCACCCAGGCCCCCAGAGTGGCAAAAGGGAGAATATCTGGCAGTACCAAGATGAGGTAGCTGCTGAGTTTGGCGTCAGGATGAGGCCCCAGGTTGCTGCTCTCCCAGGTAGCCCGCCCTGATAAGAATCAAAGACCCTGAACAAATGGCCAGGCTCAGCCCCACAGACCTGTCGCCTGTAAACTGGGCAGACTCCCAGGCCCCTCTGGGGGGCCTGTGGACCTCCCCTGCCCAGAGCGCGATAAAGCCTTCCCCTCTTACTTCTGTCTCCTTGCCTTATGGGCAAGGGACCTTACATGCAGGAAGAGTTTTGTTTTTACCTCTTCTGTAGCTGCCTGGAAGAATTTAGCCAGAGGCCTCTGCTTAGCCTGGGACACAATTGTCCTCATCTTCCTGAGAACTGTCCTCACCTTACAGCTCCCAGACTCTCTCTTTAGCACAAGGGGGCACATAAGTCCACGTTGCCTGGGTCTTTGGGTCTCGCTTCTTTGCCTCCCCTACAGGAAAAATCAAATTTGTTTTTCTCCTGTCCTGTCAGTTTATCCATGTCAATGTAGTGATTAGACCAGCCAAATTAGCTAGAGGGGAGGAAGGGCACTCTCTGCCCTGCCCTTGCTGCAGTTACGCAGCACTCAGGGGCACTCTCACTTGAGCAACTGTACTGCAGTGGCAGGTCAGAGGTACTTGCCTTGACCTTGGGCAGGAAGAGCAAATGATCTCCTAGGCTTTATGAGACCATATTGGGGAGCACAGCAGCTTGTGCCTACCTGTGAGACATTTGCAGGTGGACACCAGGGCTGAGGAGAGCGAACATCACAAAGTCAGCTGTAGGACTGTGCAAGGTCTAACTTGCCGGGGGCAGAACACTAGGGTTTCTGGACAGTCATTGCATGGAGGACTTTTTTTTTTAAGATTTATTTATTCACACAAAACTGGGGTACAGGCCAGAGGTGCAGAGGCGGTGAGAGTATTCATCAGAATCAGAGTGGGGAGCAGAACAGGCAGATGGACTGAAACCCACTGCTGAGGGGAGCAGCTGGGAGACAGGAGAGGTCTGCTGTGCCCCGTGGGTCACTCCCTGGCCTGGAATTGACTCATGTTGCAGTGGCTTCAGAAAGCTTCATAGCGATGCACTTTAACCCACTGTGCCACCAGGGAGGGCC